TGATATATATAAAATGTATAAGTTATATATATAATATAATGCTGTTGTTTATGAGCCTAAATAAAAAACTTCAAAAATATATTCTGTTAATTTTCTAAAAAATTTGATCGCGTAAAATATCACTAGAAATTGTATCAAGGCAATCGTATCCTCTCAACCCTACTTTTGCTCCAGCAATGCAGCATGCAAATTTAATAGCCTGTTGTAGAACTGTTTTATTAATAAATTTTGCTCGATTGTATCCCGAACTTCTTATACCTAAATTTTCCTTAATATCTCGCTTAATTGCAGTATTATTATCAGAGGCATCTTTCATTTGATTATCATTCGTACAAGCTGCTTCTTCTTTATATTTATGCATAAATTCAACTTTGCTTTTGTTCAAATAATACAGAGCAGCTGCATTAAATGTATCACCTGCACCTAAAGTATCGATTACTTTTCGAGGTGGGAAAGCTGGCGATTGTACTATTGAGCCACATGGAGTACGAGCGATTGCACCTTTATCCGACCAAGCACAAATAATAGCTCCTCTAAAAAGAGATTAATCTCTTATATGTATAGTACAATATTAAGTGTTGACGCATCTTTTATATTTATAAATATTAAAGTAATTAGTGTATTTCCTTACTTAGAATCTTGGCCGATGTTATGTATCACTTCGTTCATATTACTGAAACCCAGATACTCAGCAAATTCTTTTGCTATAAATGCTACGTCAACGTACGACAATAGATTCAATAATCCGGAACCTGATCTGGGACTTTCTAATTCTACACTAATTGTAATTGGCATGCGGTTTTTTGTAGCGAGATCACAATTAAATGAATTATTATAATTATCTATACGCTGTATCATAAGTAGCATTACATCTATATGCCTTCCCTAAAAATAGGAAACGATTCAAATGCTTCATATAATACTTCTTACATTATAAGACAAACCTCAAAATGAATCCAACTATATTCCTCTAAATTAAGTTGCTCGAAATTCTTTAACGTCAATTCGGGTAAACAATTATGATGAATAATTGTGCGAGATCCAGTGTCCGAACTCAATATAATACTTGAGACGGGGCATCCAATGCCATTTATCATAGGACAATGGGAATAGTCAATTTTATACTTGCGCAGATCGTTTTGCAGAAAATCAATATGTTCATCTGCGCTCAAGCATGCCAGAAGCTCACATGGTTGTCCTATTAATGATAGTACAGTACAAGTATTGGATGCATTGCCCCCTCTTTGCCATCTGTAATTACTAGATCTGAAAATTATGTTTATAATAAGAAATTAGAAATGTCTAAATTAAAAATCCGCAAAAATTGCATATTATAAATTATCTTTTCAAACAATTTATATGAATTAAAAGAATCGGTCAAATTAGAAAATTTTCACAAAACTTTGATAAATTAGTGTTATATATATATATCAGATTTTTTGAAGTTTTATTTTATGCACATTATTGTTACAAATAAATAAATAAAACTTAACAGTATAGGTTTTTTAGTATATTTTTATGAAAACCTATTTACACAAAACTTTATTTCTTTATATTATTATTATGGTCGGCATTTATAGCGTGGAATTATGGAGCCACATTCAAAGTTCAATATGGAAATTCGACACTCGAGAAATCCAAGAATTAAATTAAAACGTAACTGTAAATTTTTTTAAATATCGTGCATAGCTGTCGATATTCGTGATAGCAGTACAACTTTTAATTCTTCCAATTCGTATAAATAGTAGAGATTCGAATGAATTTATCAGTAGAAATTGCGGAAAAGCGGCAAATTTCGCAATTGTCACGACTTCATTTCCCCGTTCCCCACTCGAAATTTCCACACCCATCGAGCTGGGGCGAGCCAATTCGCCAAGTCTGATTTTTATTAATCTTATGTTTTTTTAAATATAATATAATAATTTTATTGTAATCTTCAAGAACAATTAAATTATAACATTGTAACGCAAAAAAGCATTGAAAAAAAGCATTTGAGATTAATATTATAATAATAAATTTTATGTATGTGTCCGGACGTAAATACATATGTCTAGTTATTGGGACGTTTATGTAAACTCTAAAAAAAAGTTACACTAACCTTTGAGTAGAATCCTCCGAAGGATATTGCATGCACACGTGGACGATGTCAAGGCAAACGCGTCCCACACATAAAATCTTCAACGTATGGGCTTTCATCGACGATTCCCCACAGATGATCTCCTCGTGAGTACTTGGCGTCATGTCTACAGTCAGAAATGTCAGAATATTTTCTTCCACGCTCTCATCTGCTATGCACAGGACCGGCAACTTATCTCGCCCGTGGGTGTGGAATTTTTTACTAACGGGGGGATTTTTTACTAAAGGGGGGAGGAGGGGGGAATAAAAAATGATGACCTTTCTTTATTTTTTATTTATTTTATTACTCGTCCCCTTTTTGCAATTGCGAATTACAACGCGCGCCCTGTCTAATAGTCGGTAAGGAATTATTTATATTGGCCGTAACCATATGCCGTAATTTGTAAGAATTGATTAATCACATTCGAGTATTCCCCTCTCATTCAATTGTAAGAGAGAAATGTTCGACTGTGATTTGTCAATTCTTATAGATAATGACATACAGCGCACGGTCAGTACAAATGATCCCTATAAAAGTTGAATTTCTGCTATGCGCGCAATTGTACTGCCACAAAAATCAGTCGACATCTGCACATATTTTTAAAAAATTACATATGATTTTTAATCCAATTCTTGGATAATTCCTTGGGTGTGGATTTCCACACTACACTAAATTTTGAAGTGCTCCACGATTCCACACTACAGTTGTCGGGCCTGGCTATGCATAACTTCTTCTTTTTCGTTTTTATTAAGCAACCGTTCCTATCAAGGAAAGATACAAGTTTTAAACACGATTTATATAAAGGTCAATGAATCATGACATCACAACTTGATATACTTCAAGAGCGATCAAAGTCTCACTATGAATGTCTCGAAGCAATCAAAAGAAAAAACTTTACGAATTGACCAATCAAAAAATTCTTTAAAAAACATTTGTAGCATAATGTTGACCGTGTATTATAGAATAAATATTTTATTTGTGGCGTCCTCTATAAAAGAAAAAATTAGCCGCAAATAATTTTTATTTATTAGGATATAATACTTATCTCTAAACAGATTATCTAGAATTGAATGTAATAAATTAAATATATATTTTCAAAAAGTCAACCAATTGAAAACCTATAAAATAAAGAATGCTATCGTATTAATCGCGTATAATTTAATTAATTTAATAATGGAACTATATATAGAATGCTATTTTACATATATTTTGATAACTTTCAGCATTTTCATTATTTTCTCCACGATTAATTTAAAGACAGAAATGGTGCGCATACCGTATATATTCGTAGTACATATATAATTCCCGTTTAAAGGTACCTTTTCATGCAGACGCTTGACGGTCATATAATGAACGGCAAAACGGGTCACGTGATCAAAATTGATGCCTGCTATTCGTTAATTTCGATCACGTAACTTATTTGTCGTTAGAAATGAGCTTTAACGTCAGCATGAAACTGCGCCTTAAATGTTTGAATATATATCATGACTGTTGGTTGTTCATGAAATACTATATACTATATCGCATTATTGCTGCTATATTATTAATTGCGATATACTTTAACGAATTTTGTTTTATTATTACGTTATTCGTCAAATATCGATATGTCAAACAAATACGAAACATTATACCTCCAGCTGCTTCAAAAGAGAAAACGTCGTTTCTCGAATAGACTACTTTCCTTTCAGGAGAGACACACTCGACACAAACGGTATGTCTCCTTGGTATTCAATGAATAATAAACAAAAATAGAACGACGCGTGTGTTTCCTAAAAGGAAAACATTCAAAATCAACAATCATGATGCGCGAACAAGTAGATAGGAAGAACACGCTCTGAATATGCCTATATACTAATATATATGCGGGCAACTTCATGCATTAAAGCAATTATAATTCCTTAATAATCCGTGTGCATACGCCTGTATATTGTAAATACATATTTATAAAATATATATGTATTTATAATCATAAAATAGAGTAAAATCGTAAATAACATTGAAAATATTGCGCCTAAATCGCAGGAGAATCATATCGTTACCATTGTGACAGTTAAAATGCCAAGATGGCGACAAAATCGAATTCGTAACGCATCGCGGAACACCTGCTGTTAATACCTCCAAATTATATCATCACGATACATATTCGTACCGGATTATTGAGAATACTATACGCTCAAACGAGACTTGAGCTCGATTCGTTTGTCGTAGCTAATATCGCGTTGTCGTAAAGGCAAGGGAGAAAATCTCTGAGACATATGTGGCTCGAGATGCATTCGCGCTTGGGCGTATAAATTTTGCGTCAATTTTCGCACGCGCACGTCTCCTCGTACGATTACCGCTTTGAGTTTAACATAAATACGATGGATCCACGTTTGCATAGAAGATCCGAGGCTGAAAAGGGACCGAGCGAGTTGGTCAGTGGACAGTTAACCTCAAAATTCCATTTGCCTCGTTTGCTCGTCAACAACGACGCACTCATTAATGGCGAAACAACGATTTTGCCGTGTAGACACTTTTATGTCAAAAAAAAAAAAAAAAGAACGATTACTTTTGCAATCCATACCTCTTTGATAAAAATATAGTATCCTCGATGACAAACTGTAAAATCAAAGAAAATGTTTTGCGTATAATTTTTTTGCATCGCTTACGGAGTCAGTAAAAAATTGTTACTAACATTATAATGTAAATATATGGATGCTTTCCATTTGATGACACAAGTCGACGCCAATATTCTGTCTTTGTTGCTCATGGAATGCCAAAAAAGATAAAAACGACGGTCGTGTCAACCAACTTGTGTCACTAAATGGAAAATACCCTATAATTCTTATGAGAAGGAATTATTTCAATTATTTTATGAGATACCACTTTACTGCCATGAGCAAAAAAATAATCATGAAATTTACAGCGTTCTAATCTGATACAAAAATAATCTAAATTATTATATCCAATTTACATATGTTACATCGCAATAATTGTGAAAAATTTTATTATTGAAACAATATAATTTTTCTTAATATCTTCTGGCCTCTTACAGATCGTTGAGTGGTTAAATGAGGCCTCCATAAGCATCGCTGAGGACATTAAAATTACAAACATATGTAAAGTACAGGAACTTTTATTGAATAAGGAGCCACATCTGTTAGAGTGTTATTTAAACGACATTCTACAATTTTCTGTAGATAGAAGCTCTGAAGTTAGAAAGACCATTACAGGATTTATTGAAGAATCTGGGTTATTATCAATAATTATTTCTTTTTATGATGCAATTTTGTTTATACAGGAAGTATACATTCAATAACAATATATCTTATAACTGATTTTTTTCAGAATAAAATATCCAGAGGTAATCCCTCGTACAGTTCAAATACTTCTTAGATTAGCATCCGATGAAACATCGGTTGTAGCTAAACGTGCTCTTAGAGCCAGTGGCAGAATTCTCAGAGCTGCTCTCAAGTGGATCGCTAGTGCTACTGTTGTTACGACAGATATGGAATTAGCATGGACACAGCTAAGTGCTCTTAAAGTTCAAATTATTAATATGATTGACAGTGACAATGATGGGTGAGCAGAATGATTAAAAATAATCGAAAATAATCTCTTCATTTGGAATGGTCCTAACGCTATTAAAATATTCTACATTTCAGAATAAGAACACAAGCTGTAAAGTTTCTCGAGGGCGTTATTTTAATACAGACATATCCAGATCCCGACAGTCCAAAGAAGCCTGATGATTTCTCTCTCGAGGATATTCCGCTAACATTAAAAATAGCTCGTAGACGAAAATTGGAGGAAGAAGCAAATCACGTTATGGATTTGCTGATTAAGTTTCATGGATCTCCACATGTTAGCAGTGTCAATTTAATGACATGTATGGGATCTTTGGCGTTAATTGCCAAAATGAGGCCACAGTTTATGTCTAATGTAATTCAAGGTATATACATTTAATATACAATAATTTTTTTGCGTTTTTGTAAGATTTAATAATTTATGTCATAATGTGTAGCGTTACAAAGGTTGCAACATGATCTACCACCAACACTGTCTGATTCTCAAGTAACCAGTGTACAGAAGCAATTAAAACTCACACTTCTTGGATTGATGAAACACCCTGCTAGTATAGAGTATGCTTCAACTATTGCTAAACAGTTGGCTCAACTTGGAGCAAAAGAGCAGGAAATTATTAAAGCTTATCCAAAACCAGAAGATGTCCGTCGGATGAAAAAACGTCAACAGGTATATATATGAATTTTTGAGTAAATACATTTTTGTTGTGCATATTATTATTTTTAAAGATTTGTTTATTAATTGAAGGAGATGGCTGCTACTGCTGCGAAACGAGTAAAAGTTGAAGTGATAATAGATGAAGCAGAAGCAGCTACTGTTCCTGCGCCTAAATTACCAGACTTGATTGAACTTTCTGAAAGTTTTATTGCCGAAAGACTCAGTGTAGAAATTGCAACGGATTTGGTAATGGATAGTATGGTACGATTACAAATTATATTTTATATTAATCTATATCGTAAAATAAACTTTAAATTATCAATATGTATTGAACGATATTTAACAGGCATGGGTTCCGGATACTATGACTACAATTTTCCAAAGGGAATATCAACCCACTGCAACTACTGATATTAATATACAACGTCAAACAATTGCTAAACTTCTAGCAACACAAATTAAACAGACTAAAGCAAAAAAGAACAAAAGAGATAAGGAAGAAGATGCCGTAATGGAAGACTTAATTAAAAATCCTACAATTAGTGTAGCTGAGGCAAAGCGGGAGCGTAAACGTGAAAAAGATCGGGAAAAAGAGAAAGAAGCAAAAGCATCATTAGAGGCTCATGAGAAATCACTTGCAAAAGCTAGAAATCGTATGAAGGCGTTGAAATTAGTCGAAGTGACAAAACCACTTCCGAAGGAAATTAAAGAACGGATGTTATTGATGGCAGTCAATAGGATATTACTTTCAGAAAAGACTGCAGTTTTTGGTGGTGTAGCTACTGTAAGGTATAACGGAGCATAAATTATTATACGTATGAAAGTTCTTAATATATGACACCACACACACATACACACAGATATTTATGTTGTATCTAATAGTTAATAGTTTATGTCTTTATACTATATATTACAGATCCAAGATTCTGACTACGCTAGCAGCCACTTTCAATCCTTACATTAAAGAAGCTGTTTTACGTTATATTACTGATGACATGCGAAATCGATTAGATTTAGCATTAGGTTGGTTATATGAAGAATATGCATTGCTACAAGGATTTCAAAGGCGCACTACATTATGTACAAAACCACAAGAAGCTCCACATCAGGCATATAATTTCTTATTGTGCACTTTAGTTTCAGCTATTGATTTGATTCAGGGTAAAGATCGTGATGCTTTGTTATCCAGGTAATATTAAATTTAGAAAAAGCATATACATGCGGAATAAAATATAAAAGTATAAAACATCTATGTTAATCACTAACTGTTTACCAAACTTTTTCTTATAAAAGGCTTTATTTGGAAGCACCATTAATAACAGAAGATGCTGTAGAGGCTTTAAAAATGGTATCATCTGACGAAACTAGAGGTCTTGCACCATTGCAACTTCTGAAAGAAATGGTAGTGCGTAGACCAACTAAACAATTGGTATTTTTAAATGTCTTATTGTGCCATACTGGACATGAAAACAATACAGTAAGATTAAAAATTATATAATATATAATGCTGTGTAATGCTTTTAAAAATATGCATATATTGATACTATATAAAGTAAAATGTTGTACATTTTGATAAATAGATACGAGAAGCTGCAATACAATTAGTTTGTCAGTTATACAGCCGAGCAGAGTTAAGCAAACTAATCGAGGAATACGCAGTACTATATTTAGGCTTTTTACGCCTTCATAATCCACCGGAGATTGTTTTCGGACAAGATAGAGGCAGACCGCAAATCGAAAGTCTGTGGACCGAATCAACTACACGTGCCTGCTTAGGATTGTATCTTGCTCTTCTCAGTGAACATCAAGATCTGATTCACGAGTAAGTGATATAAAACCATTTTCTTTTTTAATTATTAAATATACATACATAAGATATATTCGTATGAAAATCCTGTGTATTATATATTGTATATTTAATAAATAACAGATTAGCTAGAGTATATACGTCAATGGGAGCAGATGTAAAACGTATTGTATTAAGACTGGTAGAAGGGCCAGTAAGATCTTTAGGTATGGGTAGTCCACAACTCCTCGCACTTGTTGAAAACTGTCCAAAAGGATCTGAAACTTTAGTCACAAGGATCATACATATTCTTACAGAAAAGTGTATGTTATTATTTAAAATATATATTTTTTTAAATTTGTATTTTGTCTATTGTTTTATATTATGGTATTTGTGTATGCAGCTGCCCCAAGCGCAGAGTTAGTAGCCAGGGTACGCGAGTTATATCAGACTAGAGTTTCCGATGTCAGATTTTTAATACCTGTCCTGAATGGACTCACAAAGAAAGAAGTAATCGCCGCATTACCAAAATTAATAAAATTAAATCCTATTGTCGTAAAAGAGGTAAATAATGCATTTAAAATATTACTTTAATTGCTGCTTTCTTAAGCATAATTAAAGCATAATAAATTTATTTTTTTCAGGTATTTAACAGGTTACTTGGTACACATAATAATGACAGTGGAGTTCCTCACACATTGCCTATTACGCCTGCGGAATTATTGATAGCTCTACATAGTATAGATCCAAGCAAGGCTGAATTAAAAACCGTCATTAAAGGTAATTTATTTTACATGAAATATTTATTTACTTTCCTCGAGAGAAAGTTTATTGACATAAATTTTACGGAATTTTTTCTTTCGTATACAGCAACATCTCTTTGTTTTGCTGAGAAACAAGCGTACACGCAGGAAACAGTCGCCGTTGTGATGCAACATCTTATGGAAATGACACCTTTACCGACATTATTAATGCGTACAGTCATACAAAGCTTGGCCCTTTATCCCAGATTAAGTGGATTTGTTATGAACATACTTCAACGACTGATTCTGAAGCAAGTGTGGAAACAGCCGAAAGTGTGGGAAGGCTTCGTGAAGTGCTGCGAACGCACGCAGCCACAAAGTTTCGCCGTTATTTTACAATTACCACCGGCACAGTTAGCAGAGGCTCTTCGGATGGCGAACAATTTACGTGCTCCTTTGCTGGCCCATGTCGAAGCTTTTGCCGAGAATCAGGTAATTTCGTAGCACATTTTAAAGTATATTTTTTAATACACTTTACACATGTTGAATATGACCGAAATTCTTTTTATATTATTGGTATAAATTAAGCGTGATCTTCATTATTCGATAAATAAATATTAAAATAAGATTGTAAACTAAAACTATATATAAATGTAATAAAAAATTTAAAACATAAAACATAAAAAACATAAAACATACAGTACAGGCAATAGAAGTCAACGCTGGTTATCAATTAGCGCAATTCTTCTTAATACTAAAAATATAAACCTTGACTTTGTTTATTTTTAGTATTAAAAATAATTGCGCTAATTGATAACCAATGTTGACTCCTATTGCCTATACTGTATGTTTTGTTTTTTCTAAATTGTTTTAATTAAAAGAGTCTATAAAAACTTATTAGTTTTTTGTTAATTTGTAATTTATCATAATAAAAAATTTTTTTAATGATATTCTACCGCACATAAGATTTAATATCGTATATTTTTTCTTTTTTGTTTCAGAAAGCACACATTCCGCAATCAATAATGGATGTTATACAGGGTAAAGTGCCCTGTGACATGCTCGATGAGTTTGATATTGTGAGTAAAGATGCCTGTATATAAAGGAACGATATTTTGAGCCCTATATCTTTATAATATAATTCTTTAAAATAAATACGCGATATTTTCTCGAAAAAAAAAATCTCTTCCATCAATTTCTTTCAGGCACCACGTGGTGATTATTCGAATGATCAAAAACCAGATACAATGGAAATTGATCTTTCGGAACCAGCCCCTCCCGGTTTAGATTAGCATAAAGTCATTCCAGTATTAGGACCAAAAACATCGTTTACCGAGTATTTTAACATTGATAAATTTGTTTTGTAAATGTACAGTATTTTTTTGCATTGCTATATGCGACATTTAGTTATATATTTTGTTGGTGATAGTTTATATTTATATCTTCATTTGACGCTAAGTATTTCAATCGGCTAATATTTATCGTTAAATGTGTGAGTCAAAAAACTAAAATTACGGATGATTTAATTCAACGAAATCTAAACACAGCAATTGAGACTCTCGATATATATAATTTTCTTTAATTAGTTTGACATATATTATTATTGGTTTTATAAATCTATTTTATTTTTTGATCTTTAATATAATCTAAATACATTTTTCGGTATCTAATATAGCAGAATATGTAGATGCTATTTGACTTCTCGTATTTAATTAATATTTGTAACAATATTAAAATATACATATACTATCGATAATTTAATATTAAAAAATATATATTTCAAACAATTTTCTATGAATAATAATTTTCTTAATTTTGATTAGATTCTAATTTTTATTTATATATACCTATATAAAGAAATAAGTTGTAGAATATCAATCGTGTAAGTCAGCTAAAATACAATTGAATTTATCTCTGTTAAATTTATTTCGTATAAATACATAAAATTTTAGGAAAAAAAAATAAATACATCCTCAATTATTTGGCTTAGTAGAAAATATTTCCTTTTATATTTAATGTGTCTCTTAAATTTTATATACAAATGTGCTCGTGAATGATTATTTCGGTCTGCATTTCTTTCTTGCCTGCTCAGGTGTTATAAATTAAACAGTTTTGTTTTATGATATGTATCTATTTGAAAATTATTGCGTTGTGAGTATTACCCAGAAATATGATTTAATCATTAATTGCGATAAAAGAATAGTACATTATTTTTACAATTGAATTCATTATGTATAAAGACTAAATTAGAAATCAGTCTTAATGTTACATATATGTATTACTGTTGATGCATAAAGACTAAATTACAAATCAATCTCAACATTACATATATGTCATATATGTTAAAAGATAAATAATTATGCTTAAGTTTAAAAAGTATAACTTGTGTAAAATAGAATTGAGTGCACTTAACATCATACTATCATATGAAAGTAATAAACAATTTTTTTCATGAACATATATAATCTGCAATGTATAAAAAATAATAAAATATTTTTTGTTACATAAATTCTCACATTTGTTGCATTCTTTCTCTTAAAAAGTAAGTAAAATATACATTGTAAAAGATAATTTTATAAATATAAAAAATATTAGAAAACATATTTCGCTGAGAAATTATGCAGCAAGAATTTTATATATACATATATATATATATATATATATTTATATTAACATTACGCAAAGTCAACTCCAGTGTCTAACAAATCGCGTAACATAAAAGATGCCTTTTTTGGAAGAATCCTAAAAACGTAAGAAACTTACATATTAGATCACTCCTCTTGCGTATAAAGACGTACATAAGTAGCGAATTTACCTAAGTACATGTCCAAGATAAAGCAAATATCCTGGTACACTAAACTCCGCGTAGTTTCGGCGAACACCATCTAAAATTTGTCTAGCAGCTTCTGCGGCAGGCATTGTACCAAAGTAACTCGGAATTCTGCAAAACGCATTTGTCAGAAATTAGAATAATTCAAAGCCGTCGCATAGATGATAATAAAAACTAACATATAAGAAAGAAATTAAATATATAGTTTACAAATACTGGACACCTAAAACGTATGTCTTTTGCAATTTCCGTTCCAACGATAAAGGGATAAACGTGAACCAATGAAACGATGATGTTGCTATTTGAATGTCTTAATTCCATATGCAAGGATTCTGCTAAGCCTTGGACAGCAAATTGTGCAGTAGATAAGGGAACCCGGGTTCCTCGACCACTGGATCCATTGGAAAGACCAGCGACGGATGAAAGGATCGTAATGTGGCCTTTACCAGCTTGTCGCATACATGGCAAAACTGAATCCAACAACTACAAAAAAAGGACATTGATTATACCAAGATTTTTGTATCAAGATACATATTAAAGTATTACTCACCCAAAAATGACTGATGACTGATAAATCCATAGTGTCTCTTACTTCTGATGATTCTTGTATTAACGTACGTGGGCTGGGCAAACCACAACAATGGAAAAGCATTGTAATGTTTCCTAACTCGATCTTAATAAGATTCACAATTTGAGCAACCTAATATCGACATATTAATAATAATTAAAATTTGGTCAAAGACCAAATGGTTTATGTTTATTAAGAAGAGAAATACAGGTGCTTGTACATACTGCATCTTTATTTCTCACGTCGCACTGATAGCTTTTACATATTCCATGTAACTGTTGAGCACGTTGCGCAGTAGCAGTGCAAGTTTCTGCGTTAATGTCTACACAAGCAACCACGACACCAAATTGACACAGCTGTAGAGCAAGTTCCTTGCCTATCCCACGTCCTGCACCTACGACCTAAATTATGACATTCCTTTGTAACATGAAAAGGTTTGCGTTGACAAGAAGTAGAGATGGTAACAGTGTTACCATAGCCACTTCATAGTTGAGATTTTTCAACGGTGGCGGTCTAAACATTCTATAGACAGCGATCAGAATTGTGTAGCACACTCCGATGATGAGTGTCATGAGATCCAATCCTAAGATGCACAACGAATATATCTGCAGCAGCATCTCTGGTGGCTGAATATTTCCTATTATAGTTTGACCTGCAACAGAGCACAACAGAGATAGCATATAACACATGAAATGTCTCGTCACGTCGCATGATTATTTGATGATAAATCTCAATTCAGTAATTCAATTAATGTAATTTTTGTGTCAACAGTACAGATTATTCAAGATCATTGTCGTACGTACGTACTGTTCTCTTGAAATTACTTAGAAATCGTAAACACGTGTGAATTTAAACGGACCTAAAGAACCCGCGACAGCATACTATCTTATTTCAATTTTCAAGGGATATGTATGTTTGTCGATAATACGTGTCGCGTCACCGCCGGCCGGCCAGGACGCAATCTCTCGCATCAGCGTTATCTGAATGCCCTAAATAAAAGTACTTGAGGGAGTGCGAAAAACGTTACACGATTGAAATGACTTAAATTAATCACTGGATTCGATACATAGCTGATTAAACCTCTTAATATCCACCATACCTATTGTCTTATCAGCGTCTAAACCTAAACTAAACGCCTTTTGACTAATCTGAACTTTTCGCCCGGTTGCTATGGCCCTCTGAAGAAGCTTCGGCCAAGCGTGTTTAATTACTCTACAATTATCATGAGGATTATCATGGCGGTTTCATGTGGAATTCGATCTTCGGATCGATCTCTCATTGATAAAAATAAAATGCGTCACCGACAGTCACCAATAAAAATGTTCGATATTCGAACAGTATAAATTATTCCCTAATTAATTTTTTATTACAAACACTCGTGAAATTATGTAAATAATACCCGAAGAACTTGAAACATAAAATTCACACGCAAACGTGTTAATAAACCGAATTTTTAATTTTTCTTTCTATTTTATTCTTTGTACTTAAAACAGGATAGACATATAACGGATTAAATCTGGAAAGAAAGAGAAAAAAATGATAAATAAGGTTCAGCTGCAGGCTGTGCAGGAAAACTTTGTCAGTACATCGACGCATGCGTAGATTGTAGGTTACGTTACATCTGATTTCGTAACAGAGTTTTTAGGAGCTATCATTTACTATTATTTTGTGAAAATTCAACAGCCATGTGGTATGAAATACTTCCATCAATGGTGATAATAGGCATGGTACCTATACTACCTCAATGGGCAGCTTATTATCTAAATCAATACTTTCTGGGAAACGTAAGTAATGTTTTGTATGACATAACCTCTCGACTGTAAATTTGTAACACAATTATTAATGTTAATACTCAACAAATTAAACATTTTATTTCTAAGAAATCCCTCTTTCATAGCAATTGGAACAATTCTTAAGGAATAATTTATCCTTGGGGTATAAATTTATGAGAAAAACAAGATATATAAATAGGTAAGTAATAGTTTAAAACCCCTGAAGTCTAATTGCAAATATGTTAATAACTTCCAAGCTAAAGACACACTTCTTACTTTTAAATAAATCTGTATAAAAATAAAATTGTAATAATAAAATGTACTTAGCCAATAATAACGCTAAATTCATAAAATTTATTGAATCAATATGTATTGTATCTAAAATTATATATCTATATATTTTGTATATCTTGACTCTGAAAATTCTAAAAAGATCAATTATTCCTTAAGGATTGTTCCGATTTTGTTATGAAAAAGAGATTTTTAGAAATAAAATGTTCAATTTGTTGGGCGTTAACGTCAATTGTAAAACTTGATGAAATTTAGATGATTCAAATTTTATAATCGTTGCAAAATCTTTACAAAAATTTACTACATTTTAGTCTGATGTTATTTAAACAAGTTAAAATCATGAGAAAAAATTTTGGAAAAGATCAAAAGAATTTGTAATACAAATTTCTTTCCTGATTTGCATGGAATTGAGATATTACTTCTTCGACTTTTCTTTTCAGCCAATGCGTAGAGATTTGAGACAGGAATGGGATCGCCATATGTTTACAAGAGATATTCGCATATCGGGAGCCCCATGGAAAAACAGAGTAACTTAATATATTCATAAACTACAATATTTTATATGAATTTAAATGTACGGTTTTATTTATTCATATTTAATTACTTTTTTTTATAGGGACTAGAGAATGTTCCTGATGATTAAAAGTACAAATATAATAAATAAATGATTGTAGCAACATGGTATATAACAAATGAAATAGACAAGTTTTATCATTCAATTATAACTTACATACAATATAATGAAGTGTGTATATGATATATATAAATATATTATACATTAATTATACTTACTCATTATTTCTGATTTCCTGAATGTAAAGATGAAACTGTAGTTATAAAATCTAGTTGATAAATAATTTACTATCATTAGTAAAAATAAATAAAGAATTACGCAAGGTCCAATTGCTAAATTTTGTATTTATATATATTTATATATATATATATATGAAGTTAAAATAAACTATGTATATATAATAAATAAAAATATATATGTATATAAGCTCAAATTCAATATATCTATAAATCTACTTTTAATTTAACATCTACAAATTTAATTTGCGTTAAAAAGACCTTGGATAATAAAAAAATTCAAATTCAGATAAATTTATCAAATAAAATTTTATTTTGATATATAAACAGAAGCCTTACATACACTTAGTTATCTATACTTGAATAGTTCATTGAATCGTAGTAATTAATTCTGGTAGCAAAGCAAACTTGCTAAATTAATGAATTATAAAATTACACTCGTAAGAGGATATAGGTCGGATTACTTGCTTGCACGGATGTCTTACGGTTGGAGAAACTGGAATCAGCGGGGTAACATTATCTCGGTCCTGAAGTCTCGAGCACTCCTTAGCTAAGCGTTTCACGAATACACCATACATGTGCGCGGTATTGATAAGGTAAGGGCGTAAATACTGAGTGGAAACTCCCCGAAGTCTTAAGTATGATATTTTCGGAAAATCAATAGTTAGCGGCGTACTCGCGGTAATGCAACTTAGTCACTTTATCAAGTTAACATACGTGTAGTAGAGCTTTGGATAAATAATGGGTCATGCCGCTCCTATCGTATTTAGGACATATGCCCTGTGTCAAACACTTGACGGATTTCAGCGAGATGTTTCAGAGATGCTGACGCGTAATTAATATTTACTCACGTCTGCATATCGCACGTTTGCTATACTCTCAATCGTGATAAGGTTTATTCATACGTTACGAATACAATCATTTGAATATGATTATCTGTATTTATACATTAACAATATCATTTGCCTGTTAATATTTTATCGAGAAATTTGTAAATTTAGCGTGTATATAAACTATCGCACAGTTTGTACGACTCATAATTCTGAATAGAAAAAAGTTTCATACCCTACTCGCTATTTTTGGGTAATCACGCAGATAATGTTGGTGAATTTAACAGATAACATTAGTAAATTGTGCAAGCTGTTTGTCTGACGAGATTGCATCAGTTTATTGTTGAAGTTGCTTATTCTGTTATTGTCAGTAAAGCAAAATCCAAAACGTTATGATTGTGATTTAATGTTTCGTACATGTAGATAAGTAATTACTTCCTATATCTATCAAGAGGTGGTTATTAATTTCCATATTACGTTGTAGCACTGTATTTATACTTTACACTATATTTAGTTTATATTTTCGTCGTTTTGTTTATACTTAAAGAAAGAGAACTCTTTGTAAGACAGAATCAATACAATCAACCTAGGTATACTGAGTGTACACACATCGATTGTAACTTTTTTTATGTTCGGAAATGTTTCCTATTTTGAATCTGGTCATCAGTTTTCAATTTTGAACTCAGCAAAAAATTAGAAAAAAATTACAAAGTTTAAGTAGACCATATACAAGGTCTAGTTATCTTATATATATATACGAGTACATCACTCGTCTTAATTATAGAAGTATTTAATGTTGAAAATTAGAACGTTAGTCTCTCATTAAATTTTTGCGAAAAGCCCAGCCACAGATTCGTCAAAGGAGGCACCATTAAAACGGGAGAGCACATCTGATGCTCTTCTCGTTTTACTATGGAGACTATAAGTCGTTCCTTCGAGAGTTAGGTGCCCCCGGGATCCTATTTCTGTGGTCCGTAGTTTCTAAAAGAAGTCGTTAAGAAATTTTTACTTCAAAGCAACACGCCTCAGCCACGCAAGCGAGTCGATTAAAAACTTTCCAACTTAAAATCGCATGAAAAAGTTATATACGTATCTTTTCTTTTTGCTTCGAACATGCGACATTACGAAGACATTTGCATTGTGAATTGCAATGTGCGTGTATATATGTACATGTAAAGGGTAATAAGCTTAAACGTGGGTTTTTGTACGATAAACACGTGGATGACGACGATACGTCTCTCGGTATCCGCTATTTGAGCAACAAGTGCGCCAAAGGAGGGGTTCTGGGAAGTACGTTACTCTTCGTGCGATAAACTTTGACACTTGGGGCCGTTAGATTAACGGGGAATAATCACTGTCAAGAGCAAAAGTAGCAAGTGTTAATAAAGCAACAGCTCCGATAGAATTCACAGTTTTCGTAAATGAATACATCTTAGTGTTGATACAAATAATCTTATCTCTATTTTAAGATCTTTCTCATATCATATATTATCATATCGCTATAAAAGTCCAACTAAAAAAATTATGTTTTCTAGAAAAGAGAAAAGCTATTTTTCAACTTGATAGAAAATTATTGATTAATACATTCTTTTTGCCAATTAGCATAAATATTATTTGATTAATCGGCAAAAAGAATGTATTAATCAATAATTTTCTATCAAGTTGAAAAATAGCTTTCTTCTTTTCTAGAAAACTTAATTTTTTTGGTTGGACTTTTATAGCGATAGGATAATACATATGATATGAGAAAAAGACCTAAAAATAGAAATAAGATAATTTGTATGAACACTAAAATGTATTCGTTTATCGACAAAAAGAATGTATTCTTACCCAGATAACATGCACGTTGGATAATAAGATAAAAGACGTTCTTTTCGACATTTTTTAAACATAAGAAATCTAAAAGACGTCTTTTAGATATTTCATGCAACATAAATATTATCTGGATTAACATCAACAAAAGTGTTATTTTTATCATTTTTAAATTTTTAATATTTTTAAATATCATTACATTTTATAATTTTCGTAAATTAGAAAGTGGTATTGGTCAGAAATATTGAAAAAGAAATATATCTATTAATTTAATTTTAAATTACTATTCTTAAATTATCTATAATTAAATTATTTATTAAGATCAGAATTATTTATTAGAGATCAGCTTTTTCAAAATTGACACAACAAAATGCACAATAACTTATAAACAACATTGCCTCTGTATTTCTCAATATGGAGAGGTCACATGTAGATAAACTTATTAGTGATTTAATAAGTACTGCCACACGGGTCTAATATTTTAAACATTTTCCTTGTTCTATACTATAGTCATTGTCCAAAGCCTTTCGCTGCTTAATACTCGAGCATATAAGTGATAATAAAAAATTCTATTTTTCTTGTTGTGTCACTTTCGACAAACAAAGTTGAAGGAAATTATTACACATTAATAATTCATTGTAGAGAGAAAGAGAAAG